GCGCCACCTCTGGCAGAGGCAGGTAGGGCTGGGAGAAGCCATCCACCAGCAGCACATGCAGATTGACACTGGCAGAGCGCTGAGGATCGCCATTGTCCCTGACCAGCAGCAGCAGCCTGTGCTTGGGGGCATCGCGCTCACTCAGCAGCCTGGTGGTGCGCACCTCGCCATTGTGCGCCCACACGCTGAACAGCCCGGGCTCCGTGGCCTTGAGCAGCTGGAATGACAGCCAGGCGTTCTGGCCAGAGTCGCGGTCCACAGCCACCACCTTGGTGACCAGGTAGCCAGGCTCCGCCGCCCTGGGCAGCAGCTCTGTGCAGGGCGCAGAGGCGTTCTGCAGAGGGTAGAGCACGAAGGGCGCATTGTCATTGTCGTCCAGCACCAGCACGCGCACCAGCACCTGGCTGCTGAGAGCTGGAGAGCCTTGGTCTGTGGCGGCCACGCGGAACTCGAAGGACTTCAGAGCCTCGTAGTCCAGCGCCCTGAGCGCGAACAGCTGCCCATTATCTGCGTTGATGGAGACTAAAGAGTTGAGGGCCAGCTGTGTGTCATTGGGCGGCAGCAGCGAGTAGGTGATGTGGGCGTTGGAGCCTGAGTCTGAGTCTGTGGCTCTGATGGTGCCTATGTGCAGGGCGGGGCTGTTGTTCTCCCGGACAGACAGGGTGTAGGAGGATTGGGTGAAGGCGGGGGAGTTGTCGTTGATGTCGGACACCTGCACTGCTATGGTGTGCTGGGTTGTGAGCCTGGGTGTGCCCATGTCGGAGACGGAGATGATGATGTTGTACTCGGCTCTGCTCTCTCTGTCTAGTGCTCCTTCTGTCACTAAAGTGTAATAGTTCTCAAAAGTTGGCTTCAAAAGAAACGGAAGTTCATTCGGAATAGAACACATCATCCTTCCATTATCCCCAGAATCTGGGTCAGAAACACTGAAAACAGCAACTACAGCATCAGGAGTGTTTTCTGGGATGGAGCTAGTGAGCGACGATATGGTGAGTTTAGGGGCATTGTCATTCACATCCACCACCTGTATAGCTACACTGCATTTGCCTGAAAAGCCTCCAGTGTCTGTGGCTGCAATTTCTATCTTATAATATGGAGTTGTCTCAAAATCCAATGCCCTTTTAAGACGGATTTCTCCTGTGGTTTCATCTATTACAAATGGTTGAGATGCTCTACCACCTTGGAACAGAGAGTAGGCTACATCACCATTTATCCCAGCATCTAAGTCTGTGGCAGAGACCCTGACAACCAAGGCATTGAGGGGGCTGTTCTCAGGGACCTGCACCTCATAGAGCGACTGTACAAACTGGGGGGTGTTATCATTGATGTCCACCACTTCAATGCGCACTGTGGTGATCCCAGACCTGGGAGGGGTCCCCCCATCCAGAGCAGTGAGGGTTAAAGTGAGCTCAGGCTGCTCCTCCCTGTCCAGGGCTCTGTCCAGCACCAGCTCTGGGTTTTTGCTGCCATCTGTGAGACTGTGAGTAACAACGTGGAAATGGAGGTTGGGGCTGACTGTGTAGTTCTGAACAGCATTGCCCCCTATGTCAGGGTCCTCGGCTGCCTTCAGAGGAAACACAGTGCCTGGCTGGGCGCTCTCAGGGATTTTTAGAAGCATTTCTCTGTGAGGGAACTCTGGAGAATGGTCGTTTATGTCTGTGAGCTGCAGGTCAGTTTGGAAGAACTGCACAGGGTTTTCCAGTATGATCTGGAAGTGCAGCACACAGGGATCTGTCTCCCCACACAGCTCCTCGCGGTCTAGTTTCTCCTTCAGGAGCAAATTCCCAGTCTCAGTGTCCAGCTGCAAGAGCTCTTTGTTTCCTCTGTGATGGATTCGAGCCCCTCTAGTGGCCATTTCCCCAATGCTGAATCCCAGATCTTTTGCCAAATCAGTCACCAAGTAGCCACTCTCAGTCTCTTCTGGCATGGAATATAGAATTGCCTCCGAGCCAGACTCCCACAAAAGCAACAAGATAGCGAGAAAAACGACTTGCCTTTTCTCTGTCGATTTTGCTGGTGCTGTCTCCATTATTCCGATCCAGTCCAGTCGGCACTGCCTCTTCCAGTTGTCTTCAATCCACAAAGATAGTTTGGTGATATATTCCCGAATTAAGTCTTCCTTAATGCTTCACTGTCCCGGAGATTTCTTTCCTAGCTTACACTTAAATACTTTCTCCTTCGTCTAGGGAGCAGACAGCGTTCTGATTTCCAGCTCTTGCGACTTCCTGGGTATCTGCAGAGCCCGTTATTCTCATTCTTAGTAGACAGCGCCACCAAGCGTCGCTTTTCATGACTGCATATAGTTTGTCACGAATTCTAACCCTACCTTTGAGCTGTAGCTACACCCTGTAGCTTATTTTATGTCAGTTCCTAAATACCAGTAGTGCTAAGCATACCTCTGCTGAGCTAAAACTAAGTGAAAGTGTATTTAGAATATAGCATACTAATATTTTATAGTGCTCTTATAAAATTCTTTTGAAAATATGAACTGCCTTTTTATGGGCTTATAATTTATTAAATTGAACGTTTCTGCTAATTTTACCCAGAAATAATTGAAGTTTATACAATTTATTTTTGTTTTGATGGAGAAAATACATTAAAAATGGACACAATGGGAATATTTTTCCATGGTTAATATGTTCCTATAAGCAGAACCTAAAGAAAATCTAAACTATACCAAAACCCACCATGCTCTCTCGGACCATTATTTGGTGACCAACTCTCTCTACAAAAGCAGCATATTAAATGTTATCATAGCACATCACTCCTTCTTTGTTAGAACTTTTATGAAATATGTGTCTAGAGTATTCTCTTGTGTTAATTGTCTGCTGTACAACATTGACTTTGTGAAGTTATTTGTGATAGGATTTTCTTACTAGTTTTCGTTTCATTGTTTCATATTACTCCCCTGGAGAAGTGTGCCTTGATTTATTTTGTCTACTCCAGTTGGTGAACTACATTAGTTTTTAGTTTTGAACTTTGTTAAAATGTAATTCTATGAAAATTATTGCATTTGCCATTTTGCTGTATTTTGTGTTTGTTTTGAACTTATTTCTAGGAATTGGATAACTGTGCATAAAAATGTGATAACACACCACAAGAACACTTGCTCAACTATGTTTGTAGTAGCTTTATTTGTAATAGCTATGAAAACAACCTAGATGTCCCTCAACTGAAGAATGGATAAAGAGAATGTGATGCATTTATACAACGAAGTATTACTCAGCCCTAAAGCAAATAACATCAGGAAATTTGTAGGCAAATGGATGAGAACTAGCAAAACTTATCCTGGGTGAGGTAAACCAGATCCAGAAAGACAAACATGGTATGTACTCATTTAGAAGTGGATGTTAGCTATAAAATAAAGGATAACCACGCTACAGTCCACAGACCCAGAGACACTAAGTAACAAGGAGGGCTCAAAAGGTTAGGAGGACCCATGCATCTCTCTGGGAACAGGGTACTGGATTCCCTGGAGCTGGAATTAACATGCTTTCTAGTGTAGGTGTTAGGAACTGAACTCAGGTCCTTTGAAAGAATGGCAAGTGCTCATTTCCGAGCAATCTCTCCACCCTCCATTTACACATCTTTATCACCAAGACCAAATTTTAAACTACATTTTTCTTTTGATATTGTATATTCTGTAGCTTTGGACAGAGTAGTTTCTTGACCTCCAAATCCTTTAAATCTACCTATTTCTCCCTTCCTCTCCTGAATTTCTATAAATCATTGATAGGTTTTTTTTTTTTTTTTTTTTTTTTTTTTTTTTTTTTTTTTTTTTTTTTACTGTCAGTACAGCATTTTCCAAAATGTCATGTAGGAATAAAAGAATATAGAATCTTAGTTTGGCTGTGTGTACTTACTATGCACTTAAGTTCTTGCAATGCCCTTCCATGAGGTGATAGCTCTTTTTGACGTTAAATACTTCATTTTCTGCTTCCACCACAATGCACTTATCCATTGAACCACTGAGGAATCTCTGTTACTTTAAAATTTGACATCTATGAATGACATTTCCAGAAACATCCATGTTTAAGTTTTTGTCTGGATGTGTTTTCCATTCCTCTGCATGAATACTAAGGGGTATGACTGCTGGATCATATAGTAAGAATACACTCAATGTTGCAAGAAACTACCCAACTGTCTTCCAAAATGGCTACATCAGTTGACATTTCCATCACCCATGAAGCAGAGTTTTTGGTGCTCCATCACCACATTTGGCGATGCTGGTGTTCTGTAATTTGTACATTCTAGTAGTTATGTTGTGCCATCTCGATATTATTTGAATCAGCATTTCATGAATGACATACAATGTGTAACAGCTTTTCATGCCCATACTGACCACCTGTGTGTATTGTTTGCTGATGAGTATTGGAGCACTTTTACATGGCACTGATTTCTTTTTTATTATTTCTTCACAATTGATTCGTTATATATCCTGATTGAAGCCCCTTCCCTCAACTCCCCAAGTCCCACCCTTCCTCTCTCTTCCCTTATCCCCTTCCCCTAGTTCACTGAAAGAAGGAGTTCCACTATTGCCATCTGCCCACAGCTTGTCAAGTCTCATCAGGACTGCATGAATCGTCTTCCTCCATGGCCTGGCAAGGCTGCATCATCAGGGGTGAGTGATCAGAGAGCAGGCAACTGGGTTCATGATAGAGGCAGCCCCTGCTCCCTTCACTCAGAGATCCACATGGAGACTGAGCTGCCAATTGGCCACATCTGAGCAGGGGGTCTAGGTCATCTCCATGCATGGCCGTCCATTGGTGCATCAGTCTCTGCAGGACCCTCTGGGCCCAGATCTTTTAGTCTTGTTGGTCTCCTTGTGGGGCTCCTGTCCCCTCCATGTCCCTCTAGTTTCACCCCCCTCTTCTTCCATAAGACTCCCTGCACTCTGTTCAAAGTTTGGCCCTCAGTCTCAACATCTGCTTCAATCCCCTCTTGAGTGGAGCATTTCAGAGGACCTTCTATAGTAGACTCCCATCCTGTTTCCTCTCTTCCACCACTTCTGGTATCTATCCTGTTTGCCCTTCTGAATAAGATTTAAGCATTCTGCCTAGTGTCTTCTTTATTGTTTAGCTTCTTTAGGTCTTTAGATAGCTGTCCTATGTTATACGACTAATATCTGCTTGTTAGTGAGTGTATACCATGCCTTTCTTTCTGTTTCTTGGTTACCTCACCCGGAATGATCTCTTCTAGTTCCATCCATTTGCCTGCAACTTTCATGATGTCCTTGTTTTTAATAGTGGAGTAGCAGTGAATAGATGTACCACAATTTCTGTATCTGTTCCTCCATTGTGGGACATCTAGGTTGTTTCCAGATTCTGGCTATTACAAATAAAGGTGCTATGAACATAGTTGAGCGAATGTCCTTGTTGGATTCCAGAGATGCTCCTGCCACTGCATTCAGGATTTTGGTTCTTAACTGTGCGTGTCTTCTGTTAGTGAGTTTCCTGGGAGATGGAAGTGTTCTTCAGCTGGAATCTTCAATCTACCAAAGTTTACTGATTTGCTCTGTCTCTGTGAACAACCAACCTGTTGTTTGCTCAAGCTCAGCAAATTTCTTTGTGAGCAAAACAGACAATAGGACTCATTTCTCACCACCATGAAATTTTATTCTCAGAAATCCAAGGCCACCCAATTCTCACCACACAGTGTCTTTTCTGTGGTTGAACAGTGATGGCTTCTGACCTTTCTCCTGCCTTTATGATTGCTTTCTCTTATGAGATAATTCATACAAACTTCAAGTGACAGGGAACAGGGACAATTAGTAGGGACACTTTCATACGCAGTCTGTACAAAAGCACTGTTTGTTCCCCACATTATGAAAAGGAGTCTGTACTCACACATTATGGATAGCTTGGCATGCTTACATGGCCACCTGCTTGTTCTGTTGCCATGCCCTCATTGTCTAGGTGCCTCTGGATGAGTAGAAAGCTAATTCCAGAAAGTCTAAATAGACTTGGCACAAGAAGCACCTGAGCCTGTTATCTACAGCCTGAGGGAAGAATTCAGGTGATGATGACGAGAAAGATAAAACCACACAACTCTAAAACTGTGACTGACCACCTACCCAGAGAATGAGGCTAAACTCAGAATAACTGGCTGCTTCACTCTCACCTTCCTCCTATGTAATCTGACACCTAGATGTGAGACACAAGGTGGTTTGTAAAGTGCCTTCTCAGATGGCCAGCTCTCTGAATAAAGAGACTTAAAGATTTCATTTCTGACTCTACACTTTTGCTTCTGCAGAGTAAGGCAACACACGTTCCATTGTTATGACTACATTTTGAGACATGGTCTCATCATGTAGTATTGGCTGGTGTGGAGCTCACTATTGAAGACCAGACTGGCCTTGAACTGCAAAAGATCTGCCAGGTTCTTGGGGATTAAGGGTATGTGCCACCATGCCCACCTAAAGAAAACCTTTTAATTCCTCATTTTCTAAGTCATTTTCACTGACAATTTTACAAGCATATCTACATAAATATAGCTGAATAGAATCACACAAAGTGCTTACTAGGCCGATTAAACCCAACATAAAGCAATTACAATTCAATAACTGGACTTCTGTTCAATCATGAACAAAACAATACTTATTTTCTGGAATGACAACTTCATTCAATTGAAACTTTAAGTTAAAACCAGGCAGTGGTGGTGTACTCCTTTTATCCCAAAACTCTAGAGGCAGAGACAGGCAGATCTCTGTGAGAGTGAGGCCAGTCTGGTCTACAGGGTGAGTTCCAGGACACAGAAAAATATTGTCTCAAAAAAAACAAAAAGAAAAAGAAGAAGAAGAAGAAGAAGAAGAAGAAGAAGAAGAAAAAGAAGAAAGAAAGAAAACATTTAAGTTAAAAATAAATGAATTACATTAAACATCAAAGAAAAAAGAAAAATAGCAAAATGGGGCCTCTACTGTTGATTTAAAAAACCATCCATAACTACCAAATGACACAACACAAGAATGTGAAGTCACAATAACAAGAACTGAACAAGACTGTCAGAATACAGAAGAAGTTTTCTTCTGCTGGAAGACAGGGCAAGCTGCAGGAAAACCCAGCATCAAGCTCCTTCTCCAGGGTGAGGGACGAAAAGATAAACCTGACACCACCTTACCTCTGAATGCT